TCAATCCGAACCCAAAAGGTGATTAAATTTTTTTTTGACTCTCTGTCTGTATGTTCAACCAACACTCAAAAACTAACGGTCCGATTACAGTAAAACTTTGTATAATTATTCTTTAATACTTTGACTGCACGGTTGGTGCGGTGGCTGGGCAACCGGCTGCCGTGCAACGTGTCGCGGGTTCGATTCCCGCACGGAACAACACTTTGTGCGATCCACATTGTGTTGTTTCGGGTCTGGGTGTCATGTGTATGTGAACTTATATGTTTGTAAACGCACCCACGACACAGGAGACAATCCTAGTGTGGGGCAATGTTTAAAAAAAAAAAAATACCCTGGGCACAACACTTTTTATTCCGAAAAGGTATAAAAAACAAACTTAATTGTGCGGCTCAATCCCTAGACATAGTTACTGTACCAAACGCAAATATAACTTTGTCGAATGTTAGGTTGCCCGCAGTTGACTTTATGTTGCAACTCCAGGGCCGATGGTTGGAATTTGCTTGAACTGATAATAAAAATGCGAAAATATGTCAGTTCATGTGTTTGTTTATTACTTAGTCACATCAAAACGGCTGAAGGGACCGGGATGACATCTGGAACAGAGGTCAGATTATGGTCTGAAGTAATACTTACCTAGGCTACTTACTTACCCCTACAAAATTTGTTGTAAAATTAGTCATGTGATGACGGTTGAGTATCTACTCCTGCATTTACCTGCGGGTGGCGCTAGTGCATATTGAGGGATTTCTTTATGGGCACGAGCCGGTAAACGAGCAGACGGATCACCTGATGATAAGCAATCTAATACTATACAATTGAGTTTGACAGAGAACGGGTAAGTAGCACTTATTGTGAAACTTTTTTTTTCAATACTGTGGGAAACCTTCAGAAGGCGTCTAGCTTTTTGGGGAGAAAGACTAGGGAGTGCGGGATTTGTACCTCAATAAAACCACCCCGGTGGCCACCCTCAGCACCTGTAAGGGGCATAAGGTCCTCTGAAGAGACCTACTCCGGAGTACCCCGGAGCTCCACGGTGCAACGCCTGTTACAGCACATTCCTAGAGAGACCTGTGTGTCCCTTGATCATCGCTTAGCACGGCAACACTTGACCACGGTGCTAACGTCTTCCCTGAGGCCACTGGATGGGCACCTAGAGTCTCCACTCTATGCACCCGTGGCCCCAAAGGTCCGTCTGCAATTTATGCAAGCGGGAGCACTATCTGTGAACCTGAACGTTTTAAACTGCGTTATCTACCTGCCAAAATTATGGCAAACCGTGTCATGTACACGAGTCCTTATTCCAGCATGGAATGCTGGAAGCTAAGCTATGTTAAATAATTTAATTGTTTCGTCAGGTGTAGTTTATTATACGGACCTTGTGGAATCTAGAACGAATTTCCGTGCGTTTAGGCGTTTTTGCCATACCTATTATTGGAAGCAAGTATAACAGCTCACACATAGGACCCACTTAGTTTTTAGTCAAATTTCCGTGGTGCTTGGCGACTGGGCTTTACCCAGTTGTACAGTCTTTTTTTGTGCCCTTAGGCTTAATTCATTCTATCTCTTGCTTAATTCACCGAGGGAAGTGGAAACTATCGTTTTTATTTCTTTTCCTCTTATAATATCTTCTAATTCACTTCGTTGCGGGAACCAAGACAGTTACTCATGTCCCTGGGACGCGCCGGACTTCAGTGTTCCGGTGTTTTTATGGTTGTATCTACTGTAGATCCTGGCTTACAGGAGTTGCAGCGGTTTTGAGAGGTTGTGGCGGGCTTGTCCCATTAAAAAAAAAAAAAATTCCAGCATGGGCTGTCGTCGGCTGTGTATTGTCACCTTTAGAACCACGTGGTCCGCAATTGCGTTTGACTTAACAATAACTGCTTAAAGAAAAAACGTACAACTTAGAATTTTAATTGATCAAATATTTCGCAGCTCGTTTCAACAAATGTAAATGTATTGCAAAGGTCACGCTTGTGTACACATACGCAGCAGGCGCCGGCGCCGGCCGACCACGCCGCACCAACTATTTCATTCAATATAATCTGGTTATTTGGCAACTTTACTTGAGCTATCTCTATTGCCTTTTACCATCTAAATAAGTTCACACAACATTTGACGAAGGTCAACTTTTATAAATGATGATTTATGATTGTTAGGTAAAATTCTTGGTCATTGCTGTAGCCGTTTGGACATTTCTTTTGGTAAATTATACATAACATAAAACATAACATCACGCCTTTTATCCTCGAAGGGGTAGGCAGAAATGCACAGAGAAGTAACACCCACTTTTCACTATTATTTGTTATGAGTCCCATGAAATAGGGGGTGAGGCTATTGCCATAAACAGGGCATATTCTCAGACTTCGTGCTACTTACGTACGTACTTTACTACTCGAATGGAATGGAACTCGAGACCCCCGCACTTGCGACCACTCGGCCATCGAGGCAGTCAATTATATTAAAGTGTTATTTGTCTGTGTTGTAAAATAACCAGAGGTATACTGTGATAACAATACTAAATTATGACTGGTATTTTTAAATAGTGATCAGCGTCCTGAAACTCCCGACTCCTTACCGATTATTAACAAATGTACTTATAATGTAGCATATTTGTGATCGAGGTAGTTTGTAAACTAAAAACAAATACCTACATAGATACTCACTCACGAAATTACGACATACTAGCTTTTGCCAGCGGCTTCGCCTGCGTTCCCGTGCGATAAAAAGTGGCCTTTTTTAAGGGGGGAAAATCATCGAATGACTGCTCCCGCCTGGGTGAGGCGGGAGGGAGTGTCAGACTCTTACTGACTAAAAACCACCCCGTTCCTTCTCCTGCACGTCGAGCCGTAGCCCCGGTAACCCGTTAGGTTCTCCGCGACTAGGAAACGTGCTTAGAAGTTTTTATACGCAGATCATACAAATTATGTTACATATTTACAAACAAACAGGTCAATCAGATAACCCCAGTCTTAACACAGTTACAAACCAAGTTCTAAACGTTGGTTGTGATATTTCGTAAATACATATAAAAATGTCCTTCTGTCTAAATCATTGGGTAAGTTATAGCAAGGAGTTGCGGGGGTCCACAAGTCCAGTGTGTTGTAAGCACAAGGCCGGCAATGCGAAGTTGTTGTTGATATGACGAATTTTAGTTTAATGTCGACATGAGTTGGTATATATAAATATACATAAATCTACATCTATAGAATATATAAATCTTGGTTAAGAAATAGTTTTGGGCATGGTAACGAGGTTTGTGTTAGGAGATATAGTAATTATACTTTTTGGAGAGTGTTTTGAGTACCATTGTTTTTTTATGGGATAGGCCGGTAAACGAGCAGACGGATCACCTAATGGTCAGCAATCGGCGTCGCACATGGCCTTTTGAGGATTAGGAATTTGGGGATTCGAAGATTGGCGAGGGGGGTAATTGGGCCTCTGGTAACTTCACTCACAACCTTCTGCTCGACCGTGGTATCACTCCGGTCGAGCCAGCCCATTCGTGCCGAAGCATGGCTCTCCCACACTTAAATGTTTCATAAGATACTAATGGCCGTTTTCCCCAATCATTTCTAGACCATCTCTGAACTAAGAGTTACTTAGCATGACAAAATACCTAAACTAACCTCTTACCTGTACTTTTAGGTGAAAACCAAAATGTTGTTAATTGTCACGTATCTCAGCTTAGGTCATCATAATTACTTTAAAATGACTGACTGCCTCGTTGGCCGAGTGGTCGCAAGTGTGACTGCCGGGCAAGGGGTTTCGCGTTCGATTTCCGGGTCGGGAAAAGTATTACTGGGTTTAAAAAAATCTCAGTAGTAGCACGGAGTCTGGAATTGTGCCCGGTATATGACAATAGGCTCACCCCCTATTATATGGGACTCATAACATAAATAGTGATAAGTGGGTGTTACTTCTGTGTGCAGATGTGCCTATCCCTTCGGGGATAAAAGGCGTGATGTTATGTTTATGTTATGTAAGTTTAAAATTAGCGATGAATTACGATAATAATATTATTGAAAGCCGAGCAATACGATCCGGTGATTGAAGACTAAGTTCTCAAACATTTGCATTTAAGATTTCTACCATTAGAACAAATATTATAAAAGTAAATATAGACGCAGACAATTCTATATTTGAACCGGAAATTATATTAGACGTATTATAAATCTTCAGTACGTAGGTATTACTACCAAAAATAGACTGATATAAATTGTTGTCAGTGGTCTACATTTGATTAATTAACTTTGAGATTAAGATCAAGAATTATTTCAATAAATAATAAGTAAAAGTTGATGCTCGGCTTCGCAATTTAAATGACTTTCTTCGTTCTAAATTATTTCATTGAACTTGATTTTTGATTGATTAGGTACATCATACCGAAATGTAATCATTTCTTATATCTTAGTAATATTATAAATGCGGAAGTTTGTGTGTTTGTCTGTGTTACTCAATCACGTGAAAACGATTGAAGGGATCGGGACGAACTGACGGCTGAACAGATTGGTAAAATACATGAGTAGATTATTATCTGAATCTGGCTATTTTTTATGCCAAGGGAATGCGGGTGAAACCACTTTCAGATGCTAGTAGTAACATATAGGCATCCATAGACTCACCAATTTAATGAAACAATGATACATTATTTGTCTGAAATTCCAATTTTGACTGCCTCGTTGGCCGAGTCGTCGCGATTCCCGGGTCGGGCAAAGTATTACTGGGTTTTTAAGAAATTCTCAATAGTAGCACGGAGTCTGGAATTGTGACCGGTACATGGCAATAGGCTCACCCCCTATTAGGTACATGGGACTCATAGCATAAATAGTGGAAAGTGGGTGTTACATTGTACAGTGGCATAATGTACAACTCTGCTTATCCCTTCGGGGATAAAAGGCGTGATGTTATGTTTTTTGTTTCCAATTTTGCAAGACAGAGATCAATCATCAAGATTCTTCTGTTTCTACTACAAATTAATTTAAATTGTCTTTCCTTTCCAGGACTACTCGAAACAGTCTCTGAAACACTACAACCGCACTCAGATCCATCGCGGCGTGTGTGTATCGAGGTGTGGCCGGCAGAATGGGACGGCTGGCTGGCAGGAGGCGGCACAGGGATGTGTCAATAACAGTGTGTCGCAGTATGGGCTCGAGGTGAGGACTATGTTCATATCTTTATTCTTCCCTACCCAAATAGTAACAAGACGAAGTCCTCAGCACTTATTTGTCTGTGTAGTGTCTATCTACTGTCTACTACTAGGTTGATTTTTATGCGATTTTCACCAGTGAACTGTGTGGATTCTTGAGAACCGTTTTAAATGCCTAATTCGCGAAGAAAGCTAGTTTTACGTAACAACGCAATTCAATAGACAAGTTATTGTCGATGATACAAATATTTGCTTCTCGTCAGCAATGAGCCGTTGAATAAAGCTGGTACTAAGAAAGAACATATAATAATTCGTAAACCTTAAAATATTACTGAGCTTTCTGATTTTCATTTTGTTCCTCTCTCCAGGCGGAAGTATTATCAGTGGACTGGTGTATGTCTGCGGACTCTCCTCCAGAGAGCTCTGGTCCAGGCCGGTCGCTAGCCGTCATCTGCACCATGCTGGTGGCCCTGGCCTGCCTCGCCACTGGGGTGCACGTGTTAGGCGACCGCTGCGCCAAGGCTGAGTGTAAAATATCTGTTGTATCTTTATACTGGTGTCTTTGTTCTATATGAGGGTGACATTATTAATGCTATATGTCTTAGTTGCTTTTTCAATAGATAATCTTGAAATATCTATGATTAGACCGTTACCAAAAAATAAAAGAAGAGAATAAATATAATAATAATAATCATTAGTTAAAAAAAATAGTGTACATGGTGGTACAAAAATTGATGGTGCATGCTTGATATGTTTATATAGATATATTTTAGTAATGAATAATGTTGTTGTTGAAAAACCTTTAAGGGCCAAAATAAATAAACTCATACTGATCTTAATCCAAGATCTGTTTGATTTTTGACCGAAACTCTATATAACTAATGTCATTTATTAATTTCGGCCGTCGCAAACGAACAATCGTTACGTAAGGAGGGAAGATTATACTTATTTCTTCATCTCTTCATTCCGCACCTATGGATATTAGTTAGAAAGTTGATATTAGGATGCTGGGACGTAATCAATTAGACATCATCTGTAATTCGTAGCTTTCTAATGAACGATGTATATTCTGCACACTAAACACCTCTACCTTCCGTCCTTCTGTCTCATTATCTTTGAAGTTACAATTTTACTTTCTCCTATTTTACCAATCTTCTTCATCTTCATTAACTTATCCTGAGACCCTACACTCTCCACTTACAAAGTCACTTCATATAATAAAATATATGACATCTTCCTAACCACAGTCTTCCATTGACTGATTATAGGTAACAGGTACTTGCTAGCATTCTCATTGAAGCGTAACTTTGATATTCTGACGTACGACCGCTGCAAGCCGAGGACAGACGACCGTATGAAGGATGTGGCGTGTATCGAAGGGATTAGGTAACACTTTTATATTACTCAATTTGATTCTTATATGAAGGGGTTGTGAAGCATTAAACGTATTTACCACTCAAGTATTTTCTGTTGTAAAATGACGTCATAGGCTCAGGAAGTGTGGAAAGTGGAACAACTACAACCTTAAAGATTGGACGCAGAAATAAAATAAAAATAACTAATTTATATTTTGTTCTTCTATTTACATGTTCCACTAGAGTTTACTTTTCAATTCCAGGTTCCTTGGAATGCAATGTGTGATCTTCTCCCACGTGATGTTGATCTACATCTACTCGTACATTGACAATCCACAGTTCATTGAAAGGGTGAGGCCTTAAATTGCGCTGAATCTCCTGAAACATATTTTTGTAGAAAATAAATACTACTGCGTCTAAACCTTCTTTGTAAACCAATCTTCTCTAACTTCTAGATGTACGACCACTTCACCTGGCAAGCAGTGCTGAACTCTCCATTGTGGCTGCAAGCTTTCTTCGCGATGTCTGGCTTTCTCACTGCGTACGCTACCCTCGTCTCCTCACCCACCAAACCTATCACCTTCTTCAAATGCGTCATGTCCATTGTGAATAGATGGATCAGGTAATATTGTGATGTTTTAAGAACCATTGCAAAGAATTATTACAGGTAAATTGACTTAAATATTTGTAATACCAATTAGTAATGTACCACTATTAATGTAAGTAGTGATAAAGTAAAATTAAGTATTAACTTGTTCACTAAAAGTAGTCTTTGCCTTTTACCAATTTTAGACTACATTTCCTTAACCCTTGATCTTCATAACCAGGTTGACACCTCTAGCGGTGTTCGCGCTCTGGTTTACTGTGGCATGGTTCCCACTGCTGGGCGCTGGACCGCAGTGGTCATGGCTGGTGGAGAGAGAGGCACATGACTGCTCGGAGAGATGGTGGTACCACGTGTTGTATGTGCACAACCATCTGCCCACTGGCAAGTTCTGCATGGGACATACTTGGTGAGTGTTGTATTTCATTGTATAGATTGAAGTAGTAGACTTAGTAGACTAGTAGAAGTAGGTTTTGTATGAGTTATAACTGTTATAGAAAGTGATAAAACAAAATTAAATTGCTTAAGCTTCAAAACTAAAAACAAATATGACGGAACCAAAACTGACAATAAAAAAAGTAAACCAAACCAGGATGTAAAATGATACCTAAAATAAAATGCGGCCCATCCTATCAAATAATAATAACACTTAATTCACTTCTATGTAATTAATTAATCCGTCATACATCTTCAGGTACTTGGCAGCAGACATGCAGCTCCATATCATCGGAGTGTTCCTCCTGTTGGCTTTGATGAGGTACAAGAAAGCAGTCATCCCGGTGTTGATGCTGTTCATGGTGGGATCCTCGGTAGCAGCTGGTCTGGTAGTCTACTTCTACCACCTTACACCTATCGTTACTGCACAGACGCCAGAGTGAGTATTTAGAATGAGAAAGACAGAGAAAGAGAGAGAAGAAAGTTGAAGATCTCTGTTCTATGACACAACTTGCCTCCTTGGTTGAGAGGATTGCAAACATTCGTTTTTTGTACTGATTTTTTACGCAATTAAATTGTTGTAAAGATTATTTATTCTGCTGATATTATAATGACTTACAACTCAATCTGAATACCTTCCAGGGTCCTTCGCAACATGTTCGCGGGTTCCAAGATCCTGACGTTGCTGTACCTGCCATTCTGGATGAACCTTCCAGGCTACATCGGAGGCATCGCCACTGCCTTCATCCTCTACCACAACAACATCAAGGGAGAGATTAAACTTAAAGACAGCAAGGTGAGATACTGATGGAAAGTCTTTTCGTATTTTCAAAGTAATTTTGTTTCCTTCTTTGATTGTAATGTGTAGACTTTTGTAGTTTTACAAATCATTTATATTCTTTTATAAAAATTATTCAATAGTGCGTAGGTATAGACATTTTCCAGTTTTCTGTTAATTCATATTCATTTTATTGTGTAATCAACTAAGCACCTTTCGTCATCGAAGTTATAATAATATACAAATCTAAAATCTAAACTTTCTATTCCTCTTATCATAGTGGTTCAACATGCTGTTCCACTCAGCACTCTTCCTGGGCAGTGCGGTGTTGCTGGCCGGTACTATATTCCTGTCAGATTCCCCGCTACCTCAGTGGGCATCAGCTCTTTACGCTGCCATCGATCGACCCCTGGTCGCAACGTTCTTCTGCATTTTCATGCTAGGCTGCTTCTCCAGATGTTGGTGTAAGTATCTAATTGATTTAAAGTTTAAATAAAACGGTTAAATTCGGTATTTCTTAATGAATGAGGTGGTCAAGAAACATACTATCTATCTGATGATAAGAAATGGAAGATAATGTGTTGTCATTTACAGCTATGATTCGTGACGGGTTGGAGTGGCGTGGCTTCCATATCCTCGGTAGGCTGTCGTACTGTGTATTCCTCATCCACTTCATTGTGCTGAGGATCACTCTTGCCAGTAACACTCAGCTGGGACACGCCACTGTGCTCTCTATGGTAAGAATCATATGGAGGATTATTGATTGCAACACAACCCACTCCTAAAGTCCTAAATAAGTTTTATACTTATGTTCTGTTCGTTTCTTCTTGCAGCTATCCCTGCTAATAACATCATCAGTGCTGAGCTACATCGCATCAGTTCCCCTGTGCCTTCTTGTGGAATTGCCCCTCATCCAGCTGTGGAAAGCCATGACTGAGGGAGACGGGCCTGAGAGACGACCGTCAATACCAGTGGAAGCTGCTGGAAAGTCATTTGACCTGGTCTCACAAATTAGAAGGAGGAATGATGCCTAGTGTGGGAAGGATAAGTCTTTAGTGGTGGGCAAACCTTTTTCATGAGGAATCAGTTGAAAAGTTTTGGGAGAAGGTCAGAATACCTGATGACACCACCATCAGACCTCATGCCTCTGTCACATAATTTATTACTTCGCTGGTCTAACTGTCATATTTTGATTGGACCATCAGAATATCATATTGCAAGCCTTTGCAAGCCAAAAACTGTTGGCAGCCTGAATTAAATTCTTCATGCAATTTCAAGTGAAGTTTGCCCACCACAGTCTTAGAAGAAGACTTGATTACACTGCCTTTTGTAAATATAGTTAAGGATCCTATTTTTATGATTCTTGTTAGGCTTTTGTTGTGTAATACCTTTAGCTTTATGAAAATGAGATGAATGAAGTGGAAATGAAATCTAATGAGATTTACTGAGATTATCGAGGATTTTAGAATTTGAGTTTAAATAAAGACTTTCTAAGAGCTGAAGACCGAGCTCAGTGGCGTGCCATGGGAGAGGCCTATGTCCAGCAGTGGACGAATACAGGCTGATGATGATGAAAGACTTTCTAATTGATATTATGAGACGAGAACATGACAGGAATGTGAATTTTTATCACTTTGTTTAAAGAATAGTAATGAAGTTTTTAAGTTTTTACTTAGATACTGATGATAGGAAAAAAGCTCATTTTCGTGATCTTTTGAAAATTGGTTTCAATAATATACCGATTAAAATAAATAAAGAATTTCTAAGGGACCTCTTGACGTGGCCCTGTTTGTGCAGACGACATCTAGTCTATGTTTTTTATGTTAGGTATTGTAACTGCACTTTTAGGTATAAGTTTATTAAATGTAAGTACTAATTAACTGTAGTTAGTTACTAAACACAAATGTTTTTATATTAAAAATGTTTATAATTAATAAAGATTTAATGTGAATACATTTTATTTTTCTAATTTTGGCCCCATCTTTATTTTTTGTTGTGTAATTAATAAAGATAGCTAATTATTTGGTTTTTCTTTTTTCTTTTCGTTTTTCTTCTTCTAACATGTTATGAACTATTTGAACTTTACAAAGAACATTAAAGAGCTATCATAAATGCTAGTGTTCTTTACATTCTTTTACTTCTGTAAAATGCATCATTGCGTTAGTCAATTATTGAACTTTCTTCTATGCCTTGAATAGGTCACGTTTGGGGAAGCATTGTTTGATGTTTCACAATTGAGCTTCCACTAGTAATGAGAAAAATGTTGCGGCTATCATAGCTATATATGCTGCGACATAAAATAAATAGCAAAATATATAATTATTGAGGACCCAAATTTTAAGATTTTATGGAAAAGCAATAAGGTAGAACATCTTCTGTACATACATAATTATATTGTAGGTACACGAATGGCAACATATCGAGCCATACATAAGAGGGTTTGCACATTTTACAGGCGGGTTGGAGATAGAGGTTTATCAAGTTGGTTGGATAGAGCAATGCTGTCCCGCGTTCTTTAGCAAACATGTAGACCATTAGTCGACCGGTCGGCAGAGTCGGCACGGCTTGAGGACGGCGAGCATGGGTAGCTCTCTGCCCGACCAGAACCAGACCCGAGCGTGCGGCGCGTCGTGGTCCGTACGCGCCTCAAAGAGCCATCAGACCACCACAGTTGGAGCCCAATCGGGCTGATGCCGATACGGAGCCACTGAGAACTTAACGGGGCCCTGGCTCGAAGTGCAGGAGTAGGAACGGGGTGGCTTTTAGTCAGTAAGAGTTTGACACTCCCCGCGCGTCACCTAGGCGGCAGAAGAAATTCGATGATTTTCCCCCCTTAAAAAAAGACCTCTTATGTCACCCGCAGGAAGAGTAGAGATGGTGAGAAATGTATTCGATGTTGACGTCACCACGCTTCTTATTTAGATAGCTTAGATATTATCTATTACCGAAACCAAAACCAGAATCGAAAATTGTTTGTTTTAAATAAATTATTTGAACCTGTTTATATTTGCAGCATTTTGATTTTGTTTTCTGTAAATACATTATTCATAAACTACAGACCACAAGTCACATAATGAACTAGCTACTGCCGCGGGGCTCGACCCGCTGTTCGGCCTAATGGACAATGGGCTATTTTTATAGTTTATAGACTTCCTCGAATAATGTACTATTTAACAAAAAAAAAAATGTTTCTGGTTTTATAAGCGTGATCAAATAAACAAAACAAATATAAGATTAGTATTACAGAAATTTAGTTCACATTCTTGCGAAAATTAATTAAAATTATACAACTCAGTTTGTAGAAGATAAAGATAAGGACAAAAGTTATCACCTAAGCGAAAAAAAAGAAAGCACAGACAAAAAGCTATCTCATATTATATTTCACTAGATATTGGAAACATTTAAATAAATTAACGAAACACGTCTCACACAGCTAGCATAACCAGCGTTTAAATGAATGAATCGACACCTACCTCTATATAACATTCGTTTGAATGAATGCAATTATCGCTGCTAACGCCATCTATGCCAATAAGCTCGAAGTGAGTGAAACTATAAAAAAAATTCAGAAGGAGTTACTCTTTAATACAATCATAATCATTACATAACTTTTATCTTTACTCATAAGATGGCGCTCTGAGTGATTCTAGTCCAAGATGGAGACGGTGCAGACAGATCAAGCATATAAAAAACATTTTAATGCTTTTTTTAATCTTAAAAAACGTTGCCCCCACACTAAGATTTTCTCCTGTGTCTGGGTCTTTGTGCAAACATACAAATTCACAGACACATGCCACCTAGACCCGAAACAACAATTTGTGGATCACAGAAAGTGTTGTTCCGTGTGGGAATCGAATCCGTGGCACGCTGCACGGCAGCCAGTTGCCAAGCCACCGCACCAACCGCATATGTATGTATGTAAATGTAATGTAAAATGTTACCAACATTTTTAATATTACACTATGAAAAAGTTATCAGATCTCTTGTAAAAGCAAGTTTCTTAATCTACACGGCCTGAATTCATAAGCCTTTTTTTATAAGGGGGGAAAATCACAGAATGCCTGCTTCCGCCTGGGTGAGGCGAGAGGGAGTGTCAGATTCTCACTGACAAAAAACCACTCCGTTCCTTCTCCTGCACGTCGAGCCGGAGCCACGGTTACCCGTTAGGTTCTCCACGACTCCGAATCGGCATCGGCCCTATTGGGCCGCATCTGTGGTGGTCTGATGGCTCTTTGAGGCGCGCGCGGAACGTGACGGTCGGACGGGGAGCCACCCATGCTCGCCGTCCGCAGGCCCGCGCTTACGGTGGCTGGAGATCGTCCCGCGATCTCCGACGCCCGGTGTGTCCTTCGCGATGGGTTGCGAGGAGGCAGCGCTTCACTGCCTCACGCGTTCCGCCTCCTCCTTAGCTAGCATGACTGCTTCGCAAAAGGAGGAGACGGCATCCCAGTCCCCCTCAAATTCATAAGCCCTAACTTCTGAAATTCTGCACCTTAGTTAAAATATGTGGCCATTTGTTACCGCCACACAGACACAGTGTGAAAAAATCATTGGCTTATTATTATAATTTTTTTGTGGTTCAATAATAAATTCTTGGAATAAATCGAGAAAGCTGGAGTCTGAATAATATAACGTGGATGTCTTCAAGGCCTGAGTGCGAGTGAATAGGTTGCTTATATTATAGGTAGGCGTACTCCATCTCCGGTCACATCATCGCTTACCACCAGGCGAGATGAAAAGCCATATGCGATGCAACTTGCTGAGCAGTTGCGCTTGCAACCACGTGAATCAATGAATGATTACTGACATAAGACATACAGTCCATACTCTTACTCCTTGAAGAGTGTGTAAGTGAATGAGGATATTATACTTGTGTGAATTGTGCCCGGTACATGGCAATAGGCTCACCTCCTATTACATGGGACTCATAACATAAATAGTGAAAAGTGGGTGTTACAGTGCCGTAATGGGTACCAATTACTCTGCCTGCCCCTACGGGGATGTATGAGATGTTGAATGATTCTCACACAACTTGGAGTCTAGGTGGAAATACCTCTAAGTCGCTTGATAGTCCGGTGAGATTATATTTATTGATACACTAAACTAACACGTCAACTATATTATCAACTAAACTAATGATTGATGAGTACTGATGTAACATGTACTGAATACAAATTTATTGCTATAACTATAATGAAATTAATAAACTAAAATCTGCTGACATGAAGCGCGCGTGCGTGTGATGTACAGTCGCTGACTCGGACAGGGGATAAAAGGCGTGGTGTTATGTTATGACATTATACTTTTAAGAACGAGAAAACATGAGACTTTTCTCGAAGCAGCAATAAAAATCTTGATTGCAATGAGTGCACGCATAAAAATCTTGATTAATTAGGTTGTTATTGATGTTGGTGATGTATTTGGAAAATCCAAAAACCATTTAATTCAATGGTCACGGTCATGGCGAGCCGGAGGTTGAAGCAAGGTGGTTATGAGTTGCAGGGTCAGAGCCTTTATAACTACGTAGTACCTAGACAACCGGTCGCGATGATTTGGTGCATTAAGGTTTTAAAAACTGATCTGTAACTACAAATTGTTAAATAAAGTCGTGTTCAGCGACTTCATTATAGGCACAGTCGAGATTTTCATGATCTTTGCTTTAAAAGTAGTGGACGAGAATACTAATTCAAGGTTTCGGATAATTTATGAAAAAATGGTGGATTAAGGTCGGATTTTCTTTTTCAACAAAGTCTAAATTACGTTTACGTAACATAATATGACTCCTAAAAACAAACTCTTAGATAATTGAATATTTATTTTGTATAATTTATTGCATAAATACCTATTATATTTCTGAATGCATATAACCTGTGTAATAACAAAAATCACCAAAACTAGTTCAATTTTAATAGAACAATATAATAATATACAGGGTGTCCCTGAAGTCGACGATCAAATGGCACCAGGTGATGGGCAAGGATATTAAGAAGAATAAGAATAAGAATAAGAAAAATGTTTATTTCAAAAAGTTTTACAATTTTGTTATATCCTGGATCTCGCACTAGGATTCTCTGTATCGTGAGGTCCAGGTTCCTTAACAAACAGTACAAAAAAGAAAAAATATCAGAAAAAATAAAGATATATTAAAACGGAGTTTCGCTGTAGACTATTATTTTGCGTCGAATTAAAAAAATAATGGAGGTAGTGACATATCATTCTAGAAACCTTATCAAATGCGCCAACTTTAGTGAAATTTACCACTACTACCACAGTAATTTTTTTTTCAATACAGTCACTTAAAGTGAGGTGAATTATTTATTAAAAACACTTGGTTTGTCAAAATACGATATTTTTTTCCAAACTAAAGCAGTTGGCTCCGAATTTATGAGTTCATAACAATAAAGCATTATTAATGATAACGTAAGCAAAAATACAGACGAAAAAATAAAGAATTGTAGCAACAAGAGTCAAACACTGTCATTATAATTTAAAAACTATCTGACTTGGATTTTTTAAAATATTTTTCTGATAACTGTAAGAACCTTGTTGACTACCTGTTGCCATTTGATCGTCGACTTCAAGGACACCCTGTATATGCGTATTTATATAAATTCGTGTAAGTTTGAAGAATGTAAATTTTATCGTTGATATATTCAAAATAGTTTTTTCGAGTGCGAGTTTGGAAGGTCTTATTTTGACCTTTGTTAATTAATTAATTTGATACAAGGAACTGCAGACAAGGCCAATACTAAGATAAGAAGATATTTAATTGTTATTTTACTCTCCAGGGTAGGTAGAAGAGGGACCAGTTCCCGCTATTTTCGAAGGTGGGTAAACATGTCGTCGTGAAGAAGCCAGGGTGCCTTGTGGACTCTCCCTCCGCGTACCGGTCCATAGTGTTGCTTGACGAGGTGGGTAAAGTTTTCGAAAGGATAATTTCCAACCGCCTCGTTGCACATATGTCTAATGTTGGGCCCGATCTCTCGGACGGCCAGTTCAGCTTCCGCAGAGGACGCTCCACGGTGGATGCCATCATGCGCGTAAGAGACCTCACGACGAGAACTGCAGTGTCCAGGGGTAGGGTCGTAGTGGCGGTGTCTTTGGACATCACCAACGCATTTAACCCCTGCCCGTTACTTTATATAGATAGTAGGCACAACCTTCTTTGCGATAAAAAAATGTAGTTAATATTAAAAAATGTAAAATAAAAGAAAATGTAATTAAATGACAAGGGCACGGATAAGAGTCCGTGGAAAAAAATAAATGTAATTGATAAATGTAATATAAAAAAAAAACCTGCTCGAAGAAGTACTTGGGACTCGTCCTCGACAGTCGATGGAACTTCTTGGAGCATTTCCGACGTTTGGCTCCTAAGTTGGAACGGATGGGGGCGGCGCTTAAGCACCTCCTACCCAACCTCGGGGGACCAAATGCCTCCTCCCGGAGATTGTACGCGGGGATCGTGCGGTCCATGGCCTTCTACGGTGCCCCTGTGTGGGCGCCGAATCTGATGCGCCAGCCCACTCGAGCGCTGCTCAAGTCGGAGATGGCAATCTCCGGGGAATTTCCTTGCCGTATTACCGCCGTGGGATCTGGAGGCAAAGGTGCTCGCGCACATGTTTTGTTTGCGCGCGGAGGACGTCGCCGGCTAGAAACTCCGCTGTCGCACCAGATTAGTGCGTGACGGGATGAGCACCGGCGCAATCTCATGGTAGAATGGCAGCAGCGATTGTCGCAACCGAGGGCTGGGCTCGTTGTCATTGTAGCGGTAAGTCCCCTCTTTGAGGAGTGGCTTGAGAGACGCTACGGCGTCCTCATACCGCTTGACACAGGCGCTTACCGGACACGGAAGTTTCGGTAGGTTCCGGTTTAGGATTGGGCAGGAGGAAACGCATACAGGGGTGGTATGCCTTGCGTGGGCTGAGCACCGCCGTATCCTCAGGGATGTAATTGGCGACGGCAACCTCTCGCGTCCGGCACTAATTCAGACCATGGTACGGAGCGAGGGGGGTTGGGATGCTGTCTCCTTCTTCTACCAAGCAGCCATCCTAGCTAAGGAAGAGGTGGGGCGCGTGTGGGAACGAAATTTCTCACACTCCAGCCGTCGCGGGAGACACTCCGGGCGCCGGGGATCGCGAGACGATTTCCGGCCACCGTAAACATGGGCTTGCGGACGGCGAGCACGGGTGAATCGCCGCCCGACCAGAATCAGGCCCGAGCTTACGCCCGGTCACGTTCCGCGCGTGCCTCAAGGTGCCATTAGACCACTACAGATGGGGCCTAATAGGGCTGATGCCGATACGGAGCTGCGGAAGACTTAAGGGGCCCTAACTCGACGTGCAGGAGTAGGAACGGGGTGGTTTTTATTTTATTTATTTTATTTTATTTTATTTAGGAAACAAACAGTCACATAAAAAACAAAACTTATATAAGAAAACAATAGGTTCAAAAAGACTTCGAGTTCCATACAATTTTTAAGTGTAGCATGAAATTAACCTATCCACAATTTATTTTAAACAGAATACACAAGCACATGCAGTCAAACATAGGTTACATTATTTTAAGAGAAGGTTGCGCAATTTAATTTTATATGATGCTAAACTGTGGTTAAATACATGTATTTCGTTAAATTTACAATTATAAGTGTCTGTGCTACGTCTGAAGAAGCTATTACTGGTGTAAACCGTTTTATAGAAAGGAACTGAAAAGAGTTTTTGTGAACGGGAACCAGGTCTGGGTACTCTCAAGGCAATTTCTTCCAAAATTTCAGGGGCGTCAATGAAATTATTCAAGATTTTATAAAGAAATACTTGGTCAAACATCATGCGTCTGTCGGCAAGAGTAGTAAGAGAGTGACGAGTAATTGAATCCACGTATGATACACATTCATAATTTAGTCTAACATTGGATGATTTTCCCCCGCAAAAAAAGGGTAAGCAGAAATCGGTAGATCTTAGCTAATTTGAAGATTTTTAGGTTAGATCAATCGGCAACCTTATGGACAGATACGACAATATACGACTCATTGGTTTATTGGTCCATTGATCATATTATCTCTGTATGCGCTGGTTGATTGATTAGATCGGATTCTATCCCAGATCGCGTACGATATATTAATACATACAGAATGTAGACACAACTCTAAACAGTGAGTCACTTTGTTTTGTTATTCAGACAAACGCATATCTGGCAATGACCTACATACAATTGGTTTACAGAAATAGTTTACCACGATATAATTAACCCACTAGGGTTTTTAGGTTACTTCTATTTCCAAGCATGCTCCTAATGGATATGTCGGTTTATTCTAACACTATCGTACACAGGTTAAATAACAAAATTCGTACGTTTATATAATAAAAACGCTCAAATAAGCTTCGCTGGTCGATCGTATCAAATTTGGCCGACTGTCCGACCCCCTTCCCTTGATTTTTTGAAGTTGTACTACTTTATAAAATACTATTACATATACAACAGGTTTGATTCGCGTTAGACAACAAATGTAAAGCCGTGTACACATAAACGTTTAATTTTTTTTAAAGTGATACGACGCGATGCGTATTTCGTTGCGTTGAGATCGTCATTGTTCCTGACGTCACATCGAGCTCACCACCATACGTGGCCCGCGACCGCTTTTGGTGGCGCTTTTCTAATGACTATGGGTCTCTCCTCCAGCAGAAAACCAAATGGCAGACAGCTGGCCTAGACCTGAAGACTGGCATCATGGTTTTAGTGAGGGACGCCAATCTCCTTCCTCTTTTCTGGCTGCTGGGCAGAGTAGTACCACCATGCGTGGCCCGCGACCGCTGCGATCGGCGGTCATTCATTCACTCGCTCGCCCGACACGACGCCGGGCCACATATCGGTTGACCCTTACAATTAGTACCTATTTAAATACTCTCTTATATCTTAATAATCTTTTCTCATCATACCACAGTCTTTTACTATTCAAGACCACCAGCAACAAGAATATCAATCTGGAGCTAGATATTCAAAGAGTCATAGAAAAAAAAACATTGTTGCCTTTGTGAACGACGCCTATACTTGTCAGCTTATACGCACGTAAATTATTCAAAAAAAAGATACTGTGAATTCATTCGTTGTAGATTAATCCGATATCACGGATTGACGGACGAAAACTTTTTTGTGTTGTCCTAAAGCTGAATTTAGTTGACGAATTATATAGTTTTAATATATTTTAATAATTTGTAGAATTTGTCATATAGATAATGGTTTTACAGTTGTAACTTGAGTTATAGACGTAGGTATTATTATATATAGAAAAAATTATTAAGTTTTATAAATGTATAGTTAAAGTTAGTTTCTGAAAAATGCAGAAATATATAGTGTTGTTGTGTTTGATACATAGCTGTTATGGTGTTATATATACCTTAAATGGTAAGTGCCTCTATATTATTTAATTTTTTTTTGCTTATGAGAGCGGTTACTATCTTTTTTCTGGTACATAGGATAGGATACGATTATTTTTGGGTAGGAAATTTAATAATGATTAGTGCATGAAACAATATTTTATTAGAGTATATTTAAATGGCCTCGTTGGCCGAGTGGTCGCAAGTGCGACTGTCGGGCAAGAGGTCTCGGGTTCGATTCCCGGGCCGGACAAAGTATTACTGGGTTTTTATAAATTCGCAATAATAGCACGGAGTCTGGAATTATGCACGGTATATGGCAATAGGCTATACATGGGACTAATAACATAAATAGTGAAAAGTGGGTACGTTGTACAGTAGCATTATGTACTGTAATGTCCACCTCTATTATCGACTGCCTACCCCTTCAGGGGCAAAAGTCGTGATGTTATGTTATGTTATCCGATTTGCCGGTTTTCAGAGCAAAGTGTTTGAAAAGTTAATCCTGTCTCGGTTAAGTAACCGAGTGATGAAGTCATCATTTTAATAAACATTCTATCTTTCACCAACAACAATACGGTTTTACTAAAGGTCGTTGTACAACTGACGCCGGTGTCACTTTAATGAAAGAAATATTTGGTGCTTGGGAGGAAGCTCAAGATGCTATTGGTGTCTTTTGTGACCTCTCAAAAGCGTTCGATTGCGTTGACCACGAGACACTTTTGCTGAAATTAGATCAGAAACACGGCACTCTGTCTAATAAAATCTTATCTAGAAGAGGGGCAATTAAAGGTTTATGTTAAACAGTATTAACTCACAGTCATAGGCGTTCCCCAAGGTTCAATATTAAGTTCAGCTGTTTTTGCAGTTAGACAGATTAGACAGATCACGGGCGTGGATACGGCAAGGCTTGTCTATTTTAGTTACTTTCACAGCATTATGTCGTACGGCATTTTGTTGTGGGGTCGAGCTGCAGAAATAGAATCAATTTTTATCCGTCATAAGCGGGCTAAACGACTAATATATAACTTACGCCGTTGCGAATCGCTAAGAGATTTGTTTAAACCGATAAATATCTTAACGGTGCCCTGTCAATACATATATGAAAATACAATGTGTGTAAGAAAAAAATAGGCAATCGTTTGAAAAAAAGAAGCGAGAAGACACAATCTTAATACTAGAAGCCAAAATAAGTTAACTGTACCGCAATTTAGACTGTCCAAGGTACAGAAATCCTTTATGGGGTTATGCGTTAAATGTTACAATAAAATACCAAATAGCATACTAGATCTCAATGAAAGTAAATTTAAAACATAATTACATTAAGCGCGAATTATATATTCAAGCTTACAACAAACCGACAGATTATCTTGAAGATAAGAATGCTTGGCAGCATGTTGGTTCGGCTCCACTGGACAATATTCAAATGTAGTCAGTACCTAGTTGAGATTCCAATTATAGGTAGGTAATTTAATAATTTGATTCCGATGAAGGCAATCTAATTTTCTTGTGGTATCGAGCATTTCTTTCTTTATTGAAACAAGGAGTTATTTTTTTTCTTGTATAGAAGCACTATTTTATATGGATTGTCAGTCTACAGATGTGAGCACAATGTTACGACTGTAACATATTTGTTTTCTCTATGTTTTGTTTTATATAGTGTACTAAACGTTCTGTAAACATTTATGATGTGTCTTTACATTGTTCTCACCTATGTGTACAATATTGGAATATGTATCAGAGCATTATAAAACAGACTTTTTTAAAAAGAGTAACGAATGGAGTTCACTCGAATCTACATTTTGGAACGAGCGCCTAGCTTCACTGATGGATAGACTGACAGACTGACAGACTATTATTATTTCTTTTAAAACTGTTTTTCGAAATGCGATTCAGAATTATCAAAAAATTGCCATAATCATAAAACCAAGTCTGCTAGACCAGTTTTTGAATTCTTAATACCTAATACATTAATTATTTATTACATTAGATGTTTTAATGGTGCTGTGTTACAATTAAAATTTTAAATTAGAAAGAGAAGAAGTTATGTGTTTGTCCTTGACGTTTCGAGTGTGACGTCATTGAAATGTCATTTATTTTTTAAGTAGTTTTTTTATGCTTTATAGTAGGAGACCATGGTGTCGTTTTCGTGCTTGTACCTGATTGGTTTGTAACTGGTTTTTGTTACATAGTTTTATTATAGGTTCAATATTCGGGTCGAGCCGATTTCCAAGGAATTTTGCTTGGTGTTTAGCAATAGGCCTGCTCTTCTTACAACGGATCCTAAGAAGATAATATCTTAATAAACAACGGTTTTTGGACTCCCTATATCTGTAAAAGGCGTAATTTAAAAAAATTATTGATTGCTATATTTAAAACGGATTCAAAACTAGTCAAGGCGAATCATATAAATAAATGCCTGATGTAAAACATGTTTAATATATGAGAATAAAAATTAAACACAATTAAAGTTAAATATTCAAAAGTCGCACAGTCTTATCACGAGTACAAAAAAAAAATATGACTTATTATAAGACCATTCATATTCATTAGTCTTTTTTGTTAAATTTAATCTATATTTAATATGTGTCAAAGCTGGATCTGTCAATGCTGTCAATGTCAAATGTCAATCCATCTTTAAAATTAATAATTATTATATTTTGTTTTTGTTTTAATAGTTTAAATCGAAAAGTAGTTTAAACTGTCAAATACCAAGCGGTCACCGGTGACCGCAACCTATTGTTCTATAATTGTGTCTGCAAAACCGGTACTCGACGAGTTAAAGCAGTTTTGAGTCAGTAAAAGTCTGACAGCCTTTTTCGTCCTCTCCAGGAGGATTTTCCACTTTGATGTAAAAATTAGTCAGTCAGTCAGATAGTCAGTCAGTAAGTCAGTCAGTTGGTCAGTCAGTTAGTCAGGCAGTTAGTCAGTCAGGCTGTCAGTGAGTCTGTCAGTTAGTCTACAGTTATTCTATCAGTTAGTCTGTCAGTTAGTCTGTCAGTAAGTCAGTCAGTCAGTTAGTTAGTCAGTCAGTTAGTCAGATAGTTAGTCAGTCAGTTAGTCAGTCAGTTAGTCAGTTAGTTAGTCAGTTAGTCTGTCAGTTAGTCTGTCAGTTAGTCTGTCATTAAGTCAGTCAGTTAGTCAGTCAGTCAGTCAGTCAGTTAGTCAGTCAGTTAGTCAGTCAGTTAGTCAGTCAGTATAGCAATAGGCATAGCAATAGGTATTTTGCAAAGTTTAATGAAATAGCTGTTATGTTGGTGGATTATCAAATTGTAGTCGGATTTGTTTTACTTGGATTTACTACAATAATGTGCAGGGCGCACAACGTGTACACACACCAGAGAATGACAGATAGACAGCAACGTTAATAATGAGTGTCCTACCTTATATAACACATTGTAGTGAGGGGGCCACTACTTACTAATTAGTGATGTTAATACAGACTAAACATACATGTACCTAACAATATCTAGGTACATAAGTATTTAGATTTTGGACTCTTCCTCACTCTGACTCATATTTTGTATTTGAAAATATACGTGTACAAGTGCGTTTGTTTTTCTACCTTTTACTTCGCAACGACGATGGTTCCATTTAATGGTTAAATTGTGGATTCAAGAAAGAATAACCCCACTTCCAAACAAATCTCGACTTGAGTAATGATTCTAGGAAAAATGATAAATGTGATTTGACCACAGTTCATAGAGGTCATTAAAAATGTTGTAATTTTATTGAAAATTTGGACTTTGCCTCGTTTTATGATCACGTCAAATAATACGGAAATCTTTTAAGAATATATTTTGATTTATTTTAATGATGTAGATAATATTTCGAAAAAATTACAATTCATTGTAATTTGTAAGTATTAATCCTCCAAATATATGTAATATTTATATTCTCGTCGCCACATAATATTAATAAAAATAATAAAAGTTAGTAATAAATAATAATATAAGTTTGGGAGAGCCATGCTTCGGCACGAATGGGCCAACTCGATCGGAGTGATACCACGGTCTCACAGAAAACCGACGTGGAAAAACTGAAGCGTTGTGTTTCGTCGTGTGTGTGAGGTTACCGGATCCCCAACTATCCCCAAATGGCCGGTAACGCACTTTACTTACCATCAGGTGATCCGTCTGCTCGTTTACCGACATATACCATAAAAAAAACTCCTTGTAGAAATAAGTCCCTCATTCGCGTCTGTTCGTAAGTGTGTACGCGATAAATTCAAAAAGTACCAGACGATTTCTAGTACCGGTTTCACTAATGGATAGTGTGGTTCCTGATGCAAGTTAATTAATAATAAACTAATAGACGAAACTTAAAAGGTCAAAAAAAATCTTCGTGTGTCAGAACGATATCTATGTTACTACCCCGACTACGTTTTAAGTCAAATCAATTTTTAATGTCAGTAATGCAAAAAATGTCGTGGTGGCCCGGAGTTTTTATACGCCCGCTTCTCATGCATGAGGGTGCGGGTTCGAAATCTACCAACGGCAAGTACCAATGTGACTTTTTCCGAGTTATATGTAGGTACTTTCTGAGATTATTCAGACACCACTGACAAACGGTGAAGGAAAACATCGTGAGGAAACCTAAGCTTATAATTTCTAATTATAAGTTTGAAATCGCCAACCCGCATTGAGCAAGCGTGGTGATTAATGCTCAAACCTTCTCCATGTGAGAAGAGGCTTTGCTTCTCCATGTGAGAGGTAAATAAAGTGCGTTTCTCGGGTTCGATTTCCGGGTCAGGCAAAGTATTACTAGGTTTTAAAAAAAATCTCAGTAGTAGCACGGAGTCTGGAATTGTGCCCGGTATATAGCAATAGGTTCACCCCTATTATATGGGACCCATAACATAAATAGTGAAAAGTGGGTGTTACATTGTACAGTGGCATAATGTGCATGTGCACCTCTGCCTACCCCTTCGGGGATAAAAGGCGTGATGTTATGGTGATGATAAAGTTTTAATGTCAGTAATGCAAAAAACCATTATCGATATGGTTTCATGTTTATAATGAGCGTATCTAAATTATATTATGTAAGTTTAAGCCATGCATTGACGTAACCGCGCGTACCGGTCCACGGTCCCAAACTAGTTTAGTGGGGTATGCATGAGATACACACAATTTATTCTTCAAATGGACAAAACATCTTATATCTTATACTATAATCTTGTACCCTTATATCTATATATTTCTATACTAATATTATAAAGAGGAAAGACTTTGTACCTATTTTTGTATGTTTGTAATGAATAGGCTCAAAAAGTACTGGGCCGATTTAAAAAATTCTTTCATTAACAGAATGCTACATTCTTCCAATTTGACATAGGCGACATTTCATTTTGAAAAAAATTAGGGATTCTTGGTAAAATTTGAACAATGTAACCGAAGGTGTAGAAAAATTAGTCTTAAAATGTCTTTCGTCGAATGCCGCCGAAACTATTAGCGATAGAACAAAATAATGTACAACAATATTGAAGAACATCATAATGTCTACAAAAAACTCCGCGGTAGCATATGTCCAACTATTGTAGTTATGTCACTACAACAATTCAAATTATAATTGTCTACCCCGTGCGAAGCCGGGACGGGTTGCTAGTATTATATAAAGCGGAAGAGTTTGTTTTTTTGTTTGTTTGTTTGAGCACGCTAATCTCTGTAACTACAAGTCTGATTTGAATAATTCTTTTTGTATCGGATAGCGCATTTACCGAGGATGGCTATAGGCTATAAAACCTCACGCTACGACCAATGGGAGTTGAGCAAAGCGTGTGAAACCGCGCGGAAGTAGCTGGTTATATTATAAGTTTCGAGAGACATACTAGATTAATTATTATGTTTCCGGCTTACACACTTAATTCTAATTACATTTGACGAAAAAACTTGTCTAAAGTGCACACATGAAGATAAAATATAATACACACTAATTACTACTTAGGAAGGAGTCCTCCTCAAGTCTTATACTTTTATTATAATTTATTATAAATAACATAATTTTATGAATTAAATTTTTTTCTTCTCTTCAGACACGGAGTATAATCGAATGCCCGCCAAGTACAAGGGGGATTTGTATGACAAGTGCCACTGGGATGAAGATGCTGTCTACTGCTTCGCGGAGCTCAAGCTGGTCTCCGACACCCCTAGTCCCCTACTCACCATGATACAAGTAAGGTTCTTCAAAACTTAATACATTTTTCTTAATTACATACTTAAATATATTTCTTAGCTCTACTAGTTTCGAACCATAGAGGGGTTCATCCTCATAAGAAGGAAGTATATTAGTATTACTATTTTAGTATGTCTCACGTCACGATAGTTATTATAAAAACAAGTTGCATACTAATTCGTATGTGGACTCGACCGGGAATCGAAAACTGAGAGTCGGGAATACTGTAGATAATCATTTGATATTTCATATTACTTTATTTTTTATGTTTATTAAGTAACATATGCACAAGGCTAGACTATTCAAAATAGTGCTGTTTTTTAATACATAATCTATACATATAATAAAATTGTAGAAAAGTGCTGTCTGTACATTGAAAATAAAAATAAAAAAAATAGCAGGGGCTATTGTTATGTCGATGTCGAACCCAAAAATGTAACTAACTTTTTTTTTGTCTGTTTGTCTGTTTGTCTGTTCACGCTAATCTCAGAAACGGCTTATCCGAGTTGGATGCGGTTTTCACGAATATATTGTGGTATGCTTCAGTTATGCTTTAGTGTTTGTTTCATGTCAATCGGTTCATAAATAAAAAAGTTACGTCAAATTAAAGAATCACGTCGAACACTATCTATCTATCTATACATATAATAAAATTGTAGAAAAGTGCTGTCTGTACATTGAAAATAAAAATAAAAAAAATAGCAGGGGCTATTGTTATGTCGATGTCGAACCCAAAAATGTAACTAACTTTTTTTTTGTCTGTTTGTCTGTTTGTCTGTTCACGCTAATCTCAGAAATGGCTTATAAATATATATATATTTAACAGGGTGCGGAAAAGGTGATAGTGGTTTTATTCCTCAGATTCCTCTCATTCCAAAAAATTTTCCGTTTAATTTTAAACGAATTCAGTTTCCAGTGAGCCTATGTTTCGCCATGACAATTAATAAAGCTCAAGGTCAGACTCTAAAAGTTGTGGGTATAGATCTAAGTATCAGCTGTTTTTCGCACGGTCAATTGTATGTGGCTCTGTCCCGTGTTAGCAATCCCAGCAGCCTGTATGCTTTCACCCCCGATGGCCATACGTCTAATATTGTATATAGAGAAGCATTACAGTAAAGTAAGTTTTTTAGCTACCCAAAATGACTGTGATTATGATCCAAATCTAAAATAAAAATAAGTATATATTAAAAAAAAACGCTGCAAAGTAACTATTCACTATTCTACGCGAACGAAGTCGCGGGCACAGCTAGTAATGAATAATATTATTTGTTACCTACAGCGCCATACATTGTATTGTACATTGTATTTTTATATAGTCTTAGTAAGGTTAGGAATTTGTAGGATAAGGAAGTTTGGTACTAGAGCCAGTCAAAGCCAAAACAATTTTATTCTAAGTCCAAAAATAACAAAACCTTTAGGCCTTTAAAAAAATTATTGCGTTACTTTTGGAGAGATCATTTGACGGCCCGGCCGGTCTGTTTAGGTCATGTTCATGTTAGAATTAAACCAGTTTTAGATTAATCGGTTCTTGTATAATTTACGCACAACTGACGCAATGTTTGTAAAAAAAAGATTAACTTAACGTTTCGACACGACAAGGATTTATAACTTAAAAAATATTCGCACATAATTTTTAAATGTTATTTTTTTCATGTGTCTTTTTGGTATAGCTTACCACGGAGATCGTGACTCAGAGAGGTCATGCTAAATATTATTGAGGATTTCCGATTAACAAATATTTGTCAAATATTAAATAATTGTCAAAAAGTCACTAATCTTCCAGCGGGAAAATGCATAAATTCATATTATTTTAAGAAATTTGAACGTAGTACAATTATCACCAATAATTCATCAAAATCCTAGACTTCCTAGGAACTGTAATTCAAAGTAAACATTGGGCCAACATGATCTTAATTATAGGCGATTACATTTTTTTTATTCGCGTACGTTAATGAAATATCTTGCAACGTGTCGTTTTGTTTAGATCTTAATGTCAAGGTTCTGTTTTTACTAAGGAAAAAATCAAAATCCAAATAACTGCCGAAATCTGAAAATAGGCATCCGAGAGGTCGAAACCGGAGTATTTAAAGTTATAATTTATCATTAGGATTTTCCCTGTGTCTTTAGGGCGTTTACAAACATACAAGTTAACATACACAACATGACACCAGACCTAAAACACCAATTAGTAGATCACATAAAGAGTTGCTGTTCGGCAGCCGGATACCCGGCCGCCGCGCCAACTTTGCAGATAACACATAAAAAAAGTAAATTATTATGTTTTCGGCTTACTCACGTAATTATTTGACGGCAAACTCAACTAGTTTCAGTAGCATCGCGACGGTCGCCGCGTCTCATGAATATGAGCCTCTAGCATGGCTTGAAACTAGTCGAGTTGCTCAGCCGAAAACATAATAATTTATTTAATATGTCTGACGTAAGTTATAATACATATACAAATACTGATAGAGTAGGCACAGTAGGTATGGCGACGGTAGATCATTTTTTTTAGGCTCATCATTGTGGTGACAAATGAGCAAATGATCTGTCGTCGTCAGGGGTGGTGACCCCTACTTCTCCCGCCGGTGTCATGAGATTGCATATTCAACAGACCGGGTAGCAGTAGTCTCTGATAAACCCGAACCTTTTAACTGCGATTTAGTATCTTTTCTCAACATAAATTCACAAATAGCAAACTCAAGCGTGATGAATATTGATATGGTAAACGGAAAAGCATATCATAAAATTATAAAAATAAACTTATTATGTTTTATGCGTCAAAAAGCTCTTTCAGACGTAGAGGACGGAAAAACATTGAACATTTTTATATTTTTAGATTATGTTTTTATAACGATTAATTCGAAATTTTGATACTAACAAAGATCATAAAGCGTTCACCCTTTCCTAGATTTTGTAAGCGTTATCCCACAACAATTATTATTTAAGCGACGCAGAATGGCCGTATGTTCGTTTTCGACTACAGCATTCAAAATATGATGTATGCTATTTTTTTTTTATGGCATAAGCCGGTAAACGATCAGACCGATCACCTGATGATAATCAATCGGCGTCGCCCATGAACACCTGGAACACTTGAGGCGTTACAAGTGCGTTGCCGGCTTTTTGGGGATTAGGAGTTTGAGGATCGTTGGGGATTCAGGGATTGGGGAGATTGGGGAAGGGGAGGGTAATTGGGCCTCCGGTAACTTCATTCACACGACGAAATACAATGCAAGCGTTCCTTTACTTCGGTTTTCTGTGAGGCCGTGGTATCATTGCGGTCGAGCCGGCACATTCGTGCCGAAGCATGGCTCTCCCACACTTAACTGTATCTCCTATCAATATTACAGGAATACTCAGCGCACAACACAACGCATTTCGATTACACGAAATTGATACGAGGAGTGTGCCTCACACAGACATGCAAACATCTTTACAACGGTACAGCAGCTTCCATTAATGACACTGAGATAAGAGTAGCCATAGAGGCCTGTGTCAATGAAGAAATGTTCAAGGACTACGGGTTAAAGATCAAAGTCATCCGACACTTCTGCAACCAGCCGCCGAAGGACAAGCCGCTAGATACACTTGATTATGCGATGGCCATCATATGTCTTGTAATATTGCTGGCCAACATTGCTGGAACTATTTATGAGCCTTTCGGTGGAAATCGAAAAGATTTTTGTAAGTAATATTATAAATTTTGACTGTTGTCGTTAGCCGCATCAATTCTCGGATCGGCCTTAAAGTATTAATTGGGTATTTTTTCCGACATTTTGAAGATTTTCGCATAAAACGGAACTATGACCGTTAATAAACAAGGGACTCATATAATAACATCACATATCTGATGAGAATCTTTGTCAGTAGGGATCGGAGAATGAGTGTTGTTAATGTTACTTTTAGAATTATTGCTTTAGCCGAGTCCCAAGTTGTCACCTGTATATTATAGATCTTATTTCCAATGTTTAGAGACTACTTATGAATGAACAAATGTGGTGGATATTTCGCCAATATATCAAGTCATTAATTTAGTAAATTTAATTTACAGTATCAAGATTCCTCGTCTGTTTCTCGATTCGTAACAACTGGAGGAAGCTAGTGGCTCCTGTCGCTAGAGGGAACGACCCTCGGCTGAAGAGACTCAAGGGTATTCATGGCATGAGGTAAATGGATCTTCCTTCTGGAAGATGAACCTACTTATAACAACAGACATAACCTAAAACTTATCAGGAACTTCTTCTGGTAACATTATGTATACGTAATTTTATTACAATGTTATTGTATGCTTTCAGAACAATGTCGATCACACTAGTAATTATGGCCCACTCAATCTTAGCCTGCGTTGCGTTTATAGACAATCCAAACTACTTTGAGCAGGTATGTGTTAAACTTATTTCATTTTATTAGGTGAATTCTGAATAAATGACAGCAATAATTTTGTATTAGTTACTCAATTATGGAACGAAGACGACCATACTGCCACCTTTAGCTTCATTTTCAGCGTTTTTTTACTCGGTGGCAAAAAAGCACACGGCCCACCTGACGGCTTCTATACCTCTTAGAATCTAAAAGTCGCTCTAAGAATTTAGAAGTCGAGCACCACATTCGATAGTTGCATACTCGACCCGGTTGTACAGTCTCTTCTTTCTTCCTTTAGGCTTAATTCATTCTGTCTCCTGCAGTAATACACCGAGGGAAGTGGAAACTATAGTTTTTTCTTCTTCTCCTCTTATAATATCTTCTGATTCACTTCGTTGCGGGAACCAAGACAGTAATTCATGTCCCTGGGATGCGCCGGACTTCAGTGTTCTGGTGTTTTCATGGTTGTATCTACTGTAGATCCTGGCTTACAGGAATTGCAGCGGTTTTGGGAGGTTGTGGCGGGCTTGTCCCAAAAAAAAAGTTGCATACTCGATAATAGACCTGCTAAGGTTGTACAATTTCTAATATTAGATTTTTTCCTTACAGCTGTATAAAAGCAATATGTTGAAGGTGATCTTCAATGGCATGACCATCATGCAGACATTCCTCGTGATGTCCGGCTTCCTTCTGGTCTACAACTCCTTACTGCATGCTGAGAAGCACAAGATAACCTTAATGTCGTTCCCTAAATACATCATTTTGAGATGGCTAAGGTAACATTAAAAACATAATATTATTTCCTGCAAGAGGCCCAATATACCATGGTATCGTCTCCCATCACAAGTTATATTATATGAATTCCATGTAATAGGGGATGAGTTCATACCAGATACCATTTTAGACTCCGTGATATATGTGAGAAATTTTAGAACATTCCAATTACACGTAGTCTCTAGCATGGCTTGAAACTAGTCCAGTTCCTCGCCAAACAGTTCCGTGAGTACGCCGAAAACGTAATAAATTAAATTAAGCTAAGCTTACAGTACTATAACAATATTGTTCTTTCATGGATTAGTTCTTTACAAACCAACTTATCTATTTGCAGATTGACTCCACCTTACGCAGTCGTATTAGGGTTGACTATCACCTGGATGAGGTACCTCACTGATGGTCCTTTGTGGCAGGTCAGTTTTAGTATCGAAGTATTAACTAATAACTTAGCAGTTTCAAAACAAGGAGGTTCTCAGTCTTAGCTGTACGTTTAATTGTGCGCTATTAGCTCGCTGAACCGATTTTGATGCGGTGTTTGTTACACTTAGGAGAAGGTTTTAAGGTGGGTACAGATTGGTGCAATGCAACATGTAATGTAACATTCTGCCTTACTTTGCATGCTCCCTGCTGCCTTGGACGTGTGGCGCGCTCGGTACGCGCATTGACAACGAATCATTCGAGAACATCTGTTCCCGCATTTCGTTACAAACACTAGCCCTGGTCACACGTGTTCTTTTCTTTGTCTGAAGACAGCCTTCTTGCTCTGACGATTATCAGTGCTTCATTGACAGTGACTCGTCATCACTCCACGCACCCTCTTTCACCGCCATGATCGTTGCGCATGCGAACGAAACGAACGACCGTCCACGGCTGAGTCCTGCGCACACTGCGCGCCCCTTTGTGTTCGTACTAAAAACCGACAAATCTCGGATCGAGCCGCGCATGAGTTGTAACGCTCGGAGCATGCGCGACCCAGGCGCAGTTCGTGTGCGCGAGGAGTCCACACTATGGGAATCCTGTTACATTACATGATACATTGCAGCAATGTGGACCTCAAATTCTTGCATTGCATGTTGCATTACATGTTGCATTGCACCAATCTGTACCCACCTTAAGTATATTAATTAATTGCCTTCAAAAAAGAGAGAGTTGAAGTCGGCTTTTTTAAACGTAGCTTATAAAAAAATCAACATAATTCGAAATCATTTGTGGACATTCGTTGTATTTTATTCAATTAATGTTAATGCCAAAACTCTTATTATTATAATTATAGGAGGTGATAGGCAATGAAGTAAATGACTGCAAGAAGTACTGGTGGACCAACCTGCTGTACATCAACAACTACTTCGACGACTCGCAGTGCATGCAGCACACATGGTAACTTGCTTGATATGAATAAAACATACCGAATTTTTGAAAAGTAAAATAAAAAAAAAGTTTCGAATAGAAACTGATAATGACAAAAAGGAATATGCGATATTTTTTTAAACGTATTAGATTTTTGGTTAAACTTTAAAATTGGAATTTAGATACGGCTTTTATATGCTAAAAGTCATGGTATTCGTTGCTCTTCTTATTGCTTTTGCGATATCGCTAATGTCGAAAATTCTGAAATTTCGCATTATTTCTTCAATTGTAATTATGTTTTTATAATATTCTCGGTCTATCACAGGTATATAGCAACAGACACCCAGCTGTACTGTGTGGGTGCCTTAGTCTATGTATTGTGCTCCACTCCTCGATCCAGGAAGATAGTGCTACCACTCCTGCTTGTAGCAGGCCTCATCATTCCCGGAGTCATCACTTATATGCTCAACTTGGATGGAACCTTAATTGTATCTCCAGAGTAAGTTGCAATAATGAGAAGGTACTTTAAGATATTCTTAGGGCCAATTTTTGCAATCATCGGTTAAATCTTAACTGTCGAATGAAATTGACAGTTGATAGTACTTAGTATGGAAGAAATAAATACCTTGTTTGTAAAAGCAGTTGTTTCAAATGTTATAGAAGTTGTGTGATCATATATAAAGTACTAATATTCATTGTCAGATAGTTATAGCGCCTTTTTCATTAGCCTAAATTGTATGATTGCTCAGTAAAATAAACTTTTAACCAAAAACCTAACCTAACATTTGTAAATTTTTCCTTCTAGGGCTATCCACAGTCTGTTCCTTAACGAGCCTACCTTCAACTATACATACAGACGAGGCCACACCAATCTCGCTGGCTACACCATCGGCCTCTCCTTCGGCTACCTCATCTACCACTGGCAGAAGAAAGGCGTTGACATGTCCAGGTTCAGGGTAGGTAACAATTACCCAGTTTACACCAATGAGAGTATCTGGATAAGTTTCAAATCGCCGACCTACCTTGAGCAAGCGAATATTTCTCAAACCTCGTCCGTGTGAGAGCTTTTGCTCAGCAGTAGGCACAGCCTGTAAGGGGCATATATTATTGAGTTGACGTGACAACAATATGTCGTCAAATAAACCGGGGAAATGCTTATTCATAATGTGACATATACTTTTCGCCAGTAATGGAGAATAAATCTATTTTGATCATAAACGTGGTGAAATTCGATGTTCTAATATGAAGCACTGAATTTTGGAAGAAAATGTAATAAATTTGAATTTTTTTTTTTTTTTTTTTATACTTTATAGGTCGACGTTTGACCACCATCTCGCCTGATGGTAAGCGATGATGTGGCCGACGATGGAGCACGCCTACCTATGAGCAACCTGTTCACTCGGGACTTGAAGACACCCAAGTCATATTTGGCGGGAAACACAGCCTCTGGCAAAGAATTCCATTCCTTAGCGGTTCGCATGAGGAAGCTTGACGCGAAACGCTTCGTTCGAATGGGTGGAATGTCCACCATATAAGGGTGGCGTCCCGCCGTTCGCCTGGTGGTACGGCGGTGAAATGGACTAGGGGGAATAAGTTTGTGCAATTCCCACGCACACTCACCGAAATGTATCCGATAGAAGACCGAAAGGCTTGCGATTTTGCGCCTGTGTTCGAGGCTTTGTAGCCGAGCCTCCACAAGCGAATCGTTATTGATGAGCTTCTTGGCACGCCTCTCGATGGATTCGAGGGCTTCCAACTGGTATTTCGCCGAGCCATCCCAAAGATGGGAGCAGTACTCCATACAAGACCGAACTTGTGTTTGGTAAAGAGTGAGCAACTGCTCCGGCGTGAAGTACCGTCTCACCTTCGACAGGACACTCAACTTTCTACCAGCCAGTTGCGCCTTTGTCTCGATATACGAGCCAAAATTGAGAGTGGGCTTCAGAGTTACGCCGAGAAGCTCGAGACGGTCACCCATCGGAACGGACACACCCCGGAAAGTAGGAGTCAGTGGGAACCGACTCCGTTTAGCGGAAAACAGACACGCCTGGGTTTTGCTGGCATTGAACCTGACCAGATTGGCGTCACCCCAATCGGAGACCGCCTGCAAGGACAGGTTCAGACGATTTACCATAGATTCTCTCAGAGACTGGATTTGAGTTGCACTGGTTCGCGCATCGGACACATACCTCTCAACAACGGTGCTGTCATCTGCGTACCCAAAGATACCGGGCTGGAGCAGGTCATTAATGTGCAACAGAAAAAGTGTTGCTGAGAGTACTGACCCCTGAGGAACCCCGGCATTAATACCAAGTGGATTGGATGAGCAGCCGTCAATGACCACACGGATGGATCGATCCCTCAGGAAGTCTGTTATCCATCTGCACAAACCAGTGGGGAGTCCATATGCGGGAAGCTTGCCAACAAGACTATCGTGCCAGACCCTGTCGAAGGCCTTCGAGACATCGAGCGATACGGCTAACGCTTCCCCGTGTTTCTCGATGGCCTCGCTCCAGATGTGGGTGGCATATGCAAGAAGGTCCCCAGTAGATCGGTTTCGGCGAAATCCGTATTGCTGATCACTAAGGAGATCGTTACCTTCAAGGTATGCCAGGAGCCTGTTATTCAGTACACGTTCCATACTCTTACAGAGTATGGACGTGACCGAGATAGGTCTATAGTTATTAGGGTCGGCACGACTACCTTTTTTAGGCACAGGTTGCACGTTGGCCAGCTTCCATGCTTTCGGCACTTGACCAGTCTCCAAAGATAGGCGAAACAGACGTGTCAGGATTGGAGCTAACTCAGGTGCACAAGTTTTCAGTACTACGGCCGGGATTCCATCAGGACCACTGGCTTTGTTCACGTCCAGGTTGCGCAACGTTCTGCAGACCTCCTTCTGTCGAATGCGAATGTCCGACATGTTAGTCTCGCATACTTGGTGTATAGAAGGTGGTGAAGCGCCATCAGCATCAAGACGCGAAGACTCCGCAAAAAGAGAGGCGAATAAGTCCGCTTTCTCCATTGCGGTGTAAGCCAGCGTCCCATCAGACCGCAGTAGTGGTGGGAGTGAGGGGCGACAGAAGTTCGATTCCACCGACTTGGCCAGGGACCAAAAAGCCTTACTACCCGTTGGGTAAGAAGCAAGTTTGGCCCCTATTCGGCCGATGTGTTTGAACCGAGCTTCGCGCAGTGCCTTTTTATATGACTTGGCGGCCCGGTTGAAAGCTCTCTTCCTTTGAAGTATATCATCAGTCTTATGGGACCTGGCGTCCGCCCATGCCATATATGCAGCATGCTTTAATGCCTCCGTTTGTCTGCAGTTGGCATCAAACCATGGGCGAAAGCCACCGACGGATGTCGCGTCCGAGAATGGAACGTAATATTCCATGCCCTGACGCAGCACCCCCGTTACGGCATCTGCACAAGCTGACGGATCATCGGAAGAGAAGCAAACAGGCCGCCATGGATAGGATGCAAAAAAGGATCGCATTCCATCCCAATCTGCTGACTTGTATCGCCACATCCGTCGTGGTTCCCCAGGGCTAGAATCAGGTGGGGAGTGTGTAGATACAGATTTAACCAGACAGTGATCAGAGCTACCTAAAGGTGATGAGACTGATACCGAGTAGTGGTCTGGATTAGTTGTCAGCAGAAGGTCAAGGCAGTTGGCTGTATGCGTATCCACATCAGGCACCCTTGTGGCTTCCTGGACCAGCTGGGTAAGGTTAAACGTCAACGCAAGCTTTCGCAATTCCCTCCCAGCATGGTCGGTGCACTGGTATGGAAAAAGCCACTCCTGGTGATGGGCATTGAAGTCACCCAGTATCACCAGTTGGGCAGAAGGGTACCGAAGCTGAGCCGCATCCGCCGCCTCACTAAGATGTCGCACCAACCTGGTCGTCTCCAAGTCACCGCTGTGCGACCGGTAGACACAGGCATAAATAATCTTTTCCAGGCCTATGTCCACAAGTATCCAGACAATAGAGAAGTTGGGGTCCTCAAGATTTCGAAGACGCCGGTGACAGACGCCGTCGCGAACGTATAGGCATACACCAGCGCGTGGAACGAATTTATGTTCCAGGGAGTATCCCGGGTAGTCTAAATACGATACGTCGGACGGACATCTGATCTGGGTCTCCGAAAGAAACAGGAGTGTTGGGTTCTCAGTCTCAAGATGGTGGTGGACTGCGTTGAGATTGGAGTGCAGACCTCTGATGTTCGAGAAGTGCACTTTGAGGGAGAGGGAGTGCAGCCGCTGTGAGAACCTTTTCCGTTTATTTTTTGTCATTTAAGAGTGAAGAAAGGTTGCTGGGGGGATGGTAGTGAAATGGGCTTCTACACAGACAACCCACAGACGCGCACCGCAGTTAGCCCCATCATTAGGAGGCCAGCCCGGAGACCGCGGGGACGCCCGAGCCCCCCCACGGGTATCCATTGGGCCCTCTCCTCCGGTCGCCAACCGGCACGATGGCGTACCCGTGGGATTTTTCGACAGATGGCGGGGCAGCCTTTCACGTGTGGCTAGCACGTTACTTGGGCCCCCAACTATCCGCGGTCGGCCAGCGGTGAACCGTGCCTCGGATCCCGCTACCCTCCGTGACTGGCCACCTGATGCCGCTACACCAGCGCGCGTCAGAACTGTTAGTCTGCATTGGAACACCCACTTGGACCCATCCCCTCAATCGGCGTCACCGAGCATCGTGGCGGAACACGGCTAGGCCGCTTGGCGACACGTTTTTGCTCGGTGGGTGGTCATAAGGCCGTCGGCCGAAGCCTACCACCATGGTGTCACCCGATTCGCACCACCCAGAGGCCACGTGTAGGGATGGTTTTAAAATAAGGGTACTCTCCTACGGACGGGGGTGACTCAGCCTCCAGAATAAAAGTGTTACTCAATTTGGGAACCAAATGCGTGGCTCCTTGCTCAAAAAGCGCTCGTATGCAACAAAATGCTTGAAGCATTTTGACGATGTCGCCAAAAATACCTACACTTTGTGTCTAGTTAATTAAAGTAAGATCTAATTGAGATTAAGTACCTTTTACTTTTATTAAAAAACCTATTTATTCTTCATTTGTATACATAAATAAATTTACTTGTTTCACTTCTAATTTGGCCATCCTTTATTTGTGTTTCAGAGATATCGTTTTGGGGTTCCTCTGCTGGTTTTGATTGGAACTGGTGTTGTCTATTCAGGCAGTATCTTCTTCGAGGACGTTCCTCGCTACTCTATGTACACCAGAGTTGCTTTTGCCAGTCTTCAGAAGCCATTTTTCGGTTTTATAATAAGTTTGGCGTTAGTCATATTCATCTTTAAAATTGATGGTAAGTCACCCCTAAAATCTAATTAATTGGTCGATGATGAATATTAATCATTGTGAATGAATGATGATTTGTTCTGAATCGTGTATATTTTTACTAAACTAGAGCTCTTTTAAAACGCTGTAGAATATATTTACTGGTTTTTCTTAATTAATTATGTTTTACGGCTTACTTGCGTAACTTTACATCATGATTGAGAGCCTCCAGTGCGACTGAGACATGAGAACACCGTAAGACATACGTAACTTAATTCAGTATGTTTCATAGTTATAATTATTTTTTTCTGCTCTAAAATCCATATATTTTTTACAATTTTTCTTCTAACGATCGTGTGTTTCTCCCACAGACATAGTTCGTCATATAGTGGAATGGCAGGGTTGGACGGTGCCCAGCCGTATCTCGTACAGCGCGTACCTGGTACACGTCGCCTACATCAGACACTTCGTATCCTACCAGACTACAATTTGGCACGCCACCTTCGTCTTAATAGTATGGCTCTTATTACTTTTTACTTTGTTACTTGGCATATTGGATGCCATGTCGGATAACGACGACTGACGCTAGCGGAGGAGTAGCCTTTAACAGTTTTTTGTCGGCAGTTAGAGGCTTTTTTTTTAAAGGGGGAAAATCATCGAATGACTGCTCCCGCCTGGGTGAGGCGGGAGGGAGTGTCAGACTCTTACTGACTAAAAACTACCCCGTTCCTTCTCCTGCACGTCGAGCCGGAGCCCCGGTTACCCGTTAGGTTCTCCGCGACGCAGTTAGAGGCCTAGTTATAAAATAGCATGATAATTAATGTAATCTTACTTTTGAGTCGTAACTCTTTCTCGGTTAGGGCGAGGCTTTCACGTAGTCGAGGCCTATGTTCAACAGTGTTCCTGTTGTTGATATGATGATGATGTTACGAAGTTCTAACAGGTTTGGTTAAATGTTAGAATTTTATATGGAACACTACTATTTGCCTTCCACCACCAACTAAAATAGTAAGATGAAGCCTTTGTAACATTTTTATCATGACCGTCGTACAGAGGCCAACAAATCAACCTACTCAGATCTGTTTTAATAATTGAATTTTCGACTTTATGTCAATGCATAAAGTGAAGATGTAATAGAGATATTTCATTTAATGGGATAGGTTAGCGTGCTGGCCACCGTACAGTCAGTTCAATAATCGAGAATGTGAATTAAAACTATTTCTTTGTCCACAGCAACAAATGACAGTTGGGTTCGTGCTGGTTTCCTTCTTAACTGCGTTACCATTCTTCTTAATAGTAGAAGCACCACTAGGCAACGTAACCAAATTGTTCCTGATGGGCTCCCCAAGAGAAAAGGATGGCGATAATAAAGAAAACGTGAAAGCAGACCATTCTAAAAAAATGCTAAGTGACAGTGAAATAGTGGCCATTGAGAAAATTGTTCCTTTGAAGACTTTACGAGAAATACTAAGTGATGAGCGGACCTATGAAAATTCACGAGTTTGACGAGATATAGAAAACTTTTAGAAAATATAGATTAAGAAGAAATGTTTGTTGGAAAAAATTAAAATTAGGCGAAAATTATTCAATGACTTCTCCCGCCTTAGGTTAGGCGACACCAACGTATGGTTTGGACTTTATATTTATGTGAACAAATTGTGATGTTAGACAATAATTAGAATTTATTTTAAAATATCATGGTTGGGTTTGACACTGCCACATAGGATTGCGTTTGTATAAAAATTTACTTAAACTCGTTAACTAAATAGTTTACATGAAATGGAATAATTGTATCTTTTTTAAATTTTATGAACGACATACCTTTGTACATAAAGTCCATCAAATATTACAAATTCCTTTAATTATTATTTAAGGAGCAGAATATTTTATTGCTTTTAAAATTGTTGGGTAATTAAAATAAAACAAATTATTGGGTTTTTGTTTTATTTTTAGACTTTAGTAGTGTCTGCTTTGTCCGCGTCGTGGCGAGAGGGCGCGAGCGCGGCCCTGACGAGGCCGGCCGCGGGGGCCTCCACACACAGCCACAGGCCGCACGCACACATGTACGTCAGGAACATGCTCGCCGCCAACACTAGCATCTGTAATAATGTACTAGTAATGAGAGCAAGCATACAATGGGGTAGACGACTAATTTTTATTTTAATGTCCGTCTGGTAGATTATTTAAAAATATTAGACACGTATTTTTTATTTTCTCACGGAAACGAATAGTTTTGAAGATATATTGATTTGAAATGTCGCGTGACGTCACTTCTCAGTACATTTTATACTAAGAATTGACGTTTTAGCCCCCACTCCTAAACTTTAACTCGTTTTATCTAAGTATTGTTTTATTAAACGACAAAATAAAAAAAACGTGTCTAATATTTTTTTATTACCTAACTTACGGACTAATTATATTTTTAATTTTTATACCCTGTCAACATCCCCATTATATTGATGACTAGCGGCCCGCCCTGACTTCGTCCAGGTATAATTCTGGTAATTACATCCCTACCCCTACCCTACCCTACCCCTACCTTACCCCTACCCCTACCTAAAGTGATTATTGTAGAGCTTCTCTATAAACAACATTTGACGTTAAATTATTTATTTATTATTATTTTCAGGTAACAAAATATACTGATGGTCGGGAGTCCCGACCCGTGATAGAGCAACGTAAAGTTGCCCATGCGTAAAACATTCTTTTCTTAAATCAATTCCTACTAATTTGAATGTTTGGCCCTGGGATTTGTTTATCGTTAGTGCGAAAGAAATTTTGACTGGAAATTGCAGTCTTTTGAAGGGTATAGGCAAATCAGTAGGAATCATGGGTATCCTTGGTATATGAGCTAATTCACCAGCTGCAGGGCCGGTGATAATCTTCGCTACTATTAAATTATCTTTTAGCTCGTTTATAAGAAGTCTCGTGCCATTACACATGTTGGGGGGGCTTAAGTTTCTGAGAAGCATTATCGGCGTGCCAACTTTTAACGACAGTTCATGAGGTGGTAGCCCAGCGGGGTTCAGGGAATTTAAAAATTCCTGAGGGTAGTGCACTGCGTCCTCAATGTTAGTGACGGTGTCTATGGATTTATAGCACTTAAATTTTTTGAATGTTTGGCCCTGGGATTTGTTTATCGTTAGTGCGAAAGAAATTTTGACTGGAAATTGCAGTCTTTTGAAGGGTATAGGCAAATCAGTAGGAATCATGGGTATCCTTGGTATATGAGCTAATTCACCAGCTGCAGGGCCGGTGATAATCTTCGCTACTATTAAATTATCTTTTAGCTCGTTTATAAGAAGTCTCGTGCCATTACACATGTTGGGGGGGCACCCCCGCCTTGGTGACGCTCACTTCGCAACGGGCCGTGCAGCAGAAATCGTGATATTTTAATTTCGCCATAACTTCGAAACTAAACATCCAATTTTAATCATTCAAAGACCAAATATCATCTACATTAACTGTACTTAATGATGAAATAAATTATTTTGATAAGGATTAATAGAATGAGTAAAATAAATGCGTTTAAAAGTAGTCCAAAAAAATTCAAGATTTTTGATTTAAAAAATGGTTGTTGTGCCTCACTCGACATAGATAGGTATAGTGTGTCGCGGAGTTTTTTGTAGATATTTATAAGATCTACAACTAATTAGAACATTTCATAGTTCTATCTTTTATAGTTTAGGCAGCGTACGCAAAATAAGTAACTTTTCTGGTTGACTTTTTACACCTTGTGTCCGAAAAACCCAAATATATTACGGAACCCTATTTATTTCCAAAATAAAATTTAGTCTATGTTACTCGTGGATAATGTAGCTTTCGAATAGTGAAAGAATTTTTGAAATCGGTCCAGTAGTTTTTGAGCCTATTCATTACAACCAAACAAACAAACAAACAAAGTTTTCCTCTTTATAATATTATAAGTATAAGTATAAGTATATAAGTATAAGTATAAGTATAAGTATAGATTGATTCTAACAGGACGCTAGTACATAGTGGCGTAAGTGAGGGGGAACCGGGCTCAACCGGAGTGATACCACGGCCTCACAGAAAACCGACGTGAAACAACGCTTGCGTTGAGTTTCGTCGTATGAGTGAAGTTGCCGGAGGACCATTTAAAAATCTCCCCAATCAGCGAATTCCCAATAATCTTCAAATACTTAATCCTCAAAATGCCGGTAACGCACTTGTAATACCTCTGATGTTTCAAGTGACGCCGATTGCTTACCACCAAGTGATCCGTCTGCGAGTGCCCAAGTTAACCAATCTCCAATCACCCAAAAGGCCGACATTAGATTTGTAAATCCTCTGATGGTGCTGGTGTCGATTTTTGACGCTGACGGTTACCATCAGGACTCGTCAAATGATCTATCTGCTTGCTTGCCCACTATACTATGAATAGATATACTATTTAGATACGTTGTAACGTCCATGTTTTCACTGCCCAAATATAATGTGTTTATAGTACCAAAATATCAGAAGTATATTGTACATACCACGTAATAGTCAGACATGTGTATGAGCTGTAGTTGTGCCCCGATGAATCCTCTCTGGAACAGAGTGTGAAGGAGGAAGGCGCAGTACGTGACGCGGCCCGTCCACGTCCAACCACGCCACTCCAGGAGACCACGGTACGTTGCTGACATAGTATTAAATTATAATCTCTTATGAAGAGTAGGTACATAGTTCCTGTTGATCCAAGCTCAAAAAATGAAATTGACCTGACCAATCTGTTACTACATAATTATGGTAGAGGATCAGGTAATAGAAGTAATGCAATAATACTAAATACCGATCGACAAAATGTTATCAGGTTTGCAACGTTTGGGATTCCCAGTAGAAGCAATTTTCAAACTAGCAAAGTGAGGGTAATGTTAAATAGATTTCATTTTAATTGGAATAGTCAAAAAAGTTTTACTTACATTCAAATTTGAAGACGCAGGCAAGTATGAGTAGTACTACAAGGAACTGGAACAAAGGTTTGTAGAGGGTGGCGTACATCACCCTGAGGAGGACAGGCGCCCTCCCGCCGTCCGAGTAGAACAGACCTCCAGAGAGGATCACTGACAGCCCCAGCGGGAATAACGACCACACCACGAAACGGTACTTCTGTAAAGTAAAGTATATTGTTATGTGTCCGAGGTTGGAACTTTGTGATCCGAAATTGAGGAAGAGAAACCTCCTGCTCTAAGTGAGACATAAATACAGCAATGGAGGTATTCTGGCATGTATTGATGATGATGATGATGATGATGTCACAATCCCTAAAGTTAGAAATTCAGATAAGTCATCTTACTTTCTTTTTAATGAAGAGCGGAGCCCAGAGTAACCAGCTAGAGCTGGACTCTTCAACTACCCAATAAATTCCAGATACAGTGTATCAGACAAAAGAATGGCTTATTGTTGCCATAGAAGCATAACAAAAAAAAAAAATGAAGAGCGGAATGAAAACCTAGGTAGTTTGTGACCCTGGGTACTAAAAGTACAGGTGGCCACCGTCATCAACACCTGTAAAGGTATTATAAAAGATACTGGGTCTGTTAAATACCATCTTTAAAACCTCAATTGTGCAAAACTTATTACGGCACAATCCTAGGGAGTAAGCTACCTCCCAACCTTTTTTATCCGAATGTTCTTATATATATGTCGCGGAGAACCTAACGAGTAACCGGGGCTCCGGCTCGACGTGCAGGAGAAGGAACGGGGTGGTTTTTAGTCAGTAAGAGTCTGACACTCATTCCCGCCTCACCCAGGAGGGAGCAGTCATTTGATGATTTTCCGCCCTTAAAAAAAATCTTATATATATATATGGGTATGAGTGTAATATTCTTTATTACAAGTACTTGTTTCTACCTTATACTTTTCCAAGTCCTTCCCGTTCTGCCAGTGGTAGGCTAGGAACCCTCCTGCCAGCCCCAGTATGTAGGTGGACATGTTCGTGTGACCGCGGATGTACAGCAGACGGAACGTGTCATCGGACGCGTATAGGTTGCGGTACGATCTGATGACGACATTTTCAATAATTAAACTGGTTTGTGTGAGGTATCAGTACAGAGGTTGGATGCAAAGAAGTAAAATTCAAAATCAGTGGGGGCTTTATACATACAAGAGGGATAATAATAAGTTGTTTGTTATTATATTTTTGGGTTTGTCAAATTATTAGGCAAGCCATGTTAGAAGCTCATGGCTTGAAATTAGTCGAGTTCCTCGTCAAATAATTACGTGTGTAAGTCGAAATACTTAATTACTAATTTAGTATGTCTCACGAAAGTTACAATATCAATAAGTTGTTTTAACAAAATCGGCACTGGTAATTTATGAATCATGATAGGGAATCATGAACCAACACCCTTTGTCGGACAAAAGAAATCTGTTTGCTTTATGTATGTCATATTCCTGTCAACCTATCAAGTTACCTCCCAAATAATACATAGCGTAGTTCTTTCTTTAAAAAATATCACTTACTCTGGTGACTGTATGACGACTGCGTCCAAGTCCTGGAAGTAAGTGTGCCCAGCCACTATAGCTAGAGCTATGACGAACCACACTGACAGTAGAATGGTTCGCGTCTTACACTTGCGAGTTACCACACACAGGACCAAACCTAGGCAGAACAGCTGGGTGTCTGCTGCTAGATACCTGCGGAACATAGCCGAAGTCAAAGCATTAATTTCAGCAAAAGCAACAAAAATCATAAAACAAGTAAGTAATCAAAAGAGTTTTTAAACGTTGTGCTGCCTATTTTTGCACGAGTTGAGAGTGTGTCACAAATCCTTAAACATCGTATCCTAGCCAAAAAAAAATGTTGATCATAATAAACAATTTTTTCCATGTAAAAATTAAAGTCCGCAACAACCAGTTTATTTAGTAAAATATTTTTTGTTTTTAATAACCTGTTCAAAGTAC